TGCTGAGAGCAGTATTTGCTTGGCGAGGGCCTAGAGAGGAGGCCGCGCGCGTTCTGGGGAAAAGGGAGGAAAGCAGAAAGTCAGATCTTGGCAGGCTTGAGTTGCAAAAACAGGTGCGTCGTGATGTGAGAAGCGGGGCTGTATTTTGTTTTCTTTCGCGCTTGGTTTTCGCTCTCTTTCCCTCCCCTCCCCTTCTCTCTTAAAGCTGAACAGCCACCGGGGAAACCATTAAGGCGAGTGTGTTGCATGGATTCCAAACGGGCACAGAAAGCATTTTAAAAAATAGCCTTTAATCTCGCATGCACCAGAAACAGCAGTCTGGGAATGAAACTAGTTACTGCAAGAAGAGGAGGAGGAGGAGGAGGAGGAAAGACATTTAGGGGGGGCCGCGTAGTCGGCAATCGGCGTCACCCGGATTCGGATTAAGCGTCGTCGTACGGAATTCCCGAAAGGGGAAGAATAAGTAAACAAAGGGGTGTGTGTGTGTGTGTGCTGGTGTCGAAGAGCGGCGCCCTCGCTTGGCGCAAGCCTCCCGGCCCCTCTGCACCCTTCCTTATGCAGATCCCTCCATTTCTCTTCGGCAGTAAACACATCACCAAGCCCTGCGGGGCGCTGACGGACGTCTCCTCCTGTTCATCATCCCTCTTGATGGCTCCTGCATAAAGCCACCATTATAAAATAATCGTTACTTAACCTATGACACAAGTGGTGCCCATGCTGGCATCTGTCACGGCATTCCTTTCTTTTAAAAAAAACACACAACAACCAGCAGCTACTAAAGATTCTCTAAATATTTGCTTTCACATTCTTGTGGCAAGGCGGGGCAGCCAAAGAAATAAGAGAGCTACTTAATTCCTAATGCAGATCCCTGCTGGTCGGTCGGAGTCCCTTAGAAATCCCCTATCTTTCGGTGAGGTTTCACTGGATGACAGCTCCGACCTGCAATCCTGCTTTAAGGCTCAAGTTTCTTAGGCTCTAAAATAATAAGTGAATAGCGCTGGTTAGAATGAAGCAGACAAAGGTACCCACTCGCTAGGTCGAGTACTAAGACCCTGACTGGGGCTGGTTTTAGCATAAGGCACGTCGAGACAGTAAACGGATTGGAGAGTTTATTGCGAGGAAAGTATAGGCACTAAAAAAAACACAGATGGGGAATACCACATCAGTCCCCTAGCCACTCCACTACTCCTTTCCCATGTGGTTTGCAGTCATCCTTCAAGTTACACAGTAAACCTTGGGAGTGGCACAGAGGACTCTGTTTCCTTGCTGGAGTTGAGATACTGTTCAGCTGCAACCCCAAGTGTCTTTTTGTACAAGGAGGAAAGGGAAGATGCCCTGTGGCCCCTGGCTTCAACCCTGGTTCTGATGTTTTCCTAACTGGATAGCTCAGTGAGCTAAGGAGTCTTGGAGCCAGAGATTGGGAGTTTGATTCCCCACAGTGCCTCCTGAAAGAAGCAGCCGCCTGTGTAGCCCTGGGCAGGTAGCCTAGTCCCGGAAGAATGGATGGCTAAATAATTTCTGGATACTTGATACCTAGAAAACCTGGGAAAGGGCTGATAGTACATTGTCATTGGACTCATCATTTATACTGCTTATTTCTTGGTATTGCTGATACTTGGGAGTAGACCAAAGGGTCAAATCCCAAAATTACGAATCAAGTCAAGATCTAAAAATTTGCAACTGAGATAATGTTTGCAAAATGATTGGCTTCTAGAAATCAGGAAGGTAAAGGTAAAGGTAAAGGTTCCCCTTGACAATTTTTGTCCAGTCGTGTTCGACTCTAGGGGGCGGTGCTCATCCCCATTTCCAAGCCATAGAGCCAGCGTTTTGTCCGAAGACAATCTTCCGTGGTCACATGGCCAGTGCGACTTAGATGTGGAACGCTGTTACCTTCCCACCGAGGTGGTCCCTATTTATGTACTCGCATTTGCATCCTTTCAAACCACTAGGTTGGCGGGAGCTGGGACAAGTGACAGGCGCTCACTCCGTCACGTGGATTTGATCTTACGACTGCTTGGTCTTCTGGTCCTGCAGCACAGGCTTCTGCGGTTTAGCCCACAGCGCCACCACGTCCCTACAGAAATCAGGAAACCAAGCAGCTATTGGCAATAGTTTTAAATTGCTAACAAAGGACTGTGGAGCAATTCTGGTTGCTGAAATTTGTGGTGGGCAGGAGAATGGTCTGATGGTGCTTCCATTTTTTTTTAATGTCTTGGCTTTGCAAAGCTCTCATATGAACACTTCCAGCCTCCCTTTTTTTAATGTGTTCTCTTTCTAGTTGTATGACATGAAGTTTTTTGTGTTTGTTTTACATAGGATGTGCTTGTTGTTACATGCTGACAAGTTGCATCCAATGCTATGAATGAGTGATCTCCAGCTATGCTGAGC